ATCTGCCAGTTGCCATTCAATTACGATCTTATTCATCGAAGATATACTCTTTGTGAATTTTATTAATTGTATGTTTAATAAATATGAAAATGTTATGAGTATTAATAATATTAAAATTACTTTATTTCACTCCTTTTTTCTTAAAATTTTTCCTCAATTTAGAAGTTATTCTTACAGTGTTTACCATGTCTTAAGAAATGCTTTACATTTATTTACATTTATTGTATCAACTGTTTTTCTAATTGTTTTAAATTTTAATTTTTGAAAAATTGGCCACTAAATTTAAAAAGAGACGATGCAAATGGTCTATGGAGAGTAACAAAATTTCATAATTTTGCCCAATACTTAGACCTATTTTTTTGTAAATTCTTCCCGATGAGTAGTACACAGAGGAAAAAAATCGGGTTACTGTATGATAATGTCATTTCTTCTTAGAAAGAAAAAAGAAACAGAATTTCGATTAATGAAAGCCAAAACATATGGTATTAAAACCACTCTCATTTGGTAGTTTTTCCGATTATATGGCAATAGTAATCCGGAAATTCAGGTTTTCAAAATTACAGTTCTTATTATCGCACATTTAGTAAAAAATACAGTACTTAAAAATAATTTACCAGAATGAATGACTTCAATGCCCTGCTCTTAGCTATACTAATAAATTACCAAATTATAACACATCTATCAAATTTTATCACATAATATAAAGCTGAATTTTGTTGAAAATTTAACCAAAATTATACCCAAAGCTCTGTGGTAAAAAAATAACCAAGTTCTCTGGTGTTCACATAGAGCGAGAAGCACTGTAAATGTTACCGCATTCCGGTAGTTTTGACCATACTTTTTTTCTCAGTGTACTTAGTGGTAAGGAAAAAAGGGTTTTTTCAAATTTATAATTATGTGAACTTCTAATAATATTAAATACGCAGACTGTGATAAATATTTTTAATCAGCATTTTAAATAAACATCATAATCAAAGTTATGTCAAATAGCACTTTCATCTATTTTTTTTTAAATTGCAATCAACTTTCTATTCAACGGAAATAAAAAATCGAAACTTTAACGTTACAAAAGAAAAAGAAGAAGCCAATGCCAAAAGAAAAATAAAATTGTAGCCAAAGAAGCCAAAATAAAATTGTAGCTTTAGACTTAGTAAATTAAACCGCAGTTCAAAAACGAAATGATATCGTTTCTTATATTGTTCATCTATATTAATATACAATCTACAAACAAACTCGTTGTCAGAGTAATTCAATTATTAAATATGAAGTTTAATGATTATTAAACTATCTTAATACTTTTTTCCTATTAAGCATAAAATTGCCTCAAATAATGGCTTAAAAGAACAGAAATTTCTTTCACTGTTTAAAATCATTTTAATAAATTTATTAATTCCTTCAATTATATCTAGCATTTAAAAATTTAGGATCACTAAATCAATAATATTTTATGAGTTAATACAAATTTCAGGATAGATCAAATAAAAATATAACTATGAATATATTTTTTTACCTCAATAAGTGTTTCAATCAATAAAAAGAATGTGTGTTAAGAATTTCTTCCGCTCGATTTAAATTTCATTACTTCGAGAAGTGTTTGATTTTGTAATCTTGTGGGAATATTTTTAAGAAAATAATGTCAACATTTTTTAAATTGAAGCTGGTAAACTTGTCATTCTAAGCTAAAGTTTTGGTGTATTTTACTCTAAAGAAACTGAATTGTTTAAAGTTTATTTTTATTTTTCAACATGATTAAAAACCATATTTTTATTTTTAAGCATAATTTCAGCAATAATTTAAACAAAAAGCAACTTAAAATTCTTTTACTGGGTAAAAACATTTTATTAAGTTTATTTACGTATTTTAAAATTTTTCAACTTTATTTCCAGGTATTTGGTGAAAGTTATGAGAATGTCAAAACTGAAACAATATGAAAAATTTTATTGCATAATAAAGTTTTTAATGCCTACTTTGAGAGAAAGGAATGGTTAAAACTATTAGAATGTGGTATAAGTTATCGTGTTACTGTCTGGTAAAATTTACAGTAAAATATGGATTTGTAATAAAAGGTGGATTTATAATATAGTGGTATCTTACAACATGGCATAGAAATCATTGATTAGGTCAAATTTAGTTTTCGTTTTTATATTTTTTACTAAATGTGTAGTAATAACCAGTTTCAGAAACCAAAATTTTAAGTAAACCGTTAATGTATGAATTGAAAAATTACTAAATGAATGGCTTAAATACTGTATATTTTGGTTCTATCAACCAGAATTATGGATTTGTTTTTACCAGAAATATCATTACTATACAGAATGGATTTTTTTTTCTCTGTTTAATATTGGAAATGTATAATTTTAATATTTTCTTTCAATTTACGACTAGAATTTTTTAAGCTATCCGAATAGTTTTAAGCAGAATTTAGAACATAATTCTTGAGGTGAATAATGTACCACTATTTTTTTTATATTCTTAACTGAGTGACTCTGAAAGGAAAATTTTGTTTAAAAACACAAATTTTTAGTTAAAATAAGTCTGTCTTTGGAACTGTGTGTAAATATTATCCCATTTCTCTGGGATCGTCTTTTTAAACTTCTCAGTATTTTTTTCTTTTTTTTAAAAAAAAAAATTGTTATTAAACAAATGGGGGAAAAATTAACACTCGATTTGAGCTATATGTGAGAAGGACAGCTTACATAGAGTTGGTATTAAGGGAAAATTGCAATTCAGTCCCAAAAAAACTTAGAGCTCAAGCTAGCCCGACAACAAGATAACCTACACTCAGAAAAAAACCTCTAGATTATGGTAAAATTTATTGTTTTTTCTGGCTCTATTGAAACACAAAAGAAAACATTGAAACATAAAAGACGTTAATTTTTAATGCAGCTTTTGGTGATGAATAAAATAACAAATAGAATTTAGTTTTATTATCATACTGCTTAGTAGCAAATTTGAAAACTAATCTACTGGATAAAAAATTTGTAGAATTTATTACCATTGCTATACCCGGTATAAAGACCCCGACGCCTTAGGCAAGAGGTTCGCGCGTTTTCCCGTTACGACAGTAAGGCATGAAACATAGAACTTTTTTTACGATTGCCAATTAAAAATTTGTACTTCTGTAGTTCTGTTCCGGAAATAATACTTCTTTTGTGATGAAGTAACTAATACATCAAATCTATAGAGAAGCCAAAATATTTCATTCAATGGAAGCAGATATGAAAGTTTGTTGGTAATATTATTTTTTGTTTGTGTTTAAACATTTTTCAGCAAAAATAATCAGCGATTACACAGTTTTTAAGAAATTCGGATTTGGATGGAAATCAACAACATAATCTTTAAACCGTATGTATATGTATTAATTATGTTTAATACTTAAATATACCAAAATACTTAAATATATGTATTAATTTCATACAAGTAATAGTTACCATTTTTTTAGCAAAGAATTTGCAGATGCCAAGAATTTTTTTTCTTTTTTGCACAATATTGTGCCACAGATAAATTTTTGTCATTTTTATTAATAAAAATATTTGTTTTTTTAGCAATAAAAGAAGTACTTAAAGGAAAAACGTGTACCATAAAATATAAAAAAAAGAAAAGATGTAAGAGAAAAAAACGTAACAAAAGACACTGCAAAAATTTAAAAAAAAGCAAATAAACAATTAAGTAAAAAGATCGAATCACAGCTAAGATCGAATTACCGATATTGTAGACGATTGATACATTGGTTTTACCACAGTGTGAAAATGGGTTTTTCAGAATTGAGCAAAACTGTGTCAAAATAACTCAAAAACAGTCGATTTGCTAACTCCATGTATTCAAAACTGAAACAGCATTTACTTATTTTGGAGTAATTTCATAGTCTCAAAGAGATGCAATCATAATTTTTCCTAATTTTTCATTTGCTTTGAAAACCATTTCATATGATTTACTTGCCGTAAAAGAATTTTAAAAAAAAACTGACAGATATAATCAATCGTTATAATATAATGAGGTTCTTTCTGAAGTTCGAAAACAAACTAATTGCAGATTCAAGAATATTTTATTTTAGTTTTGTAATCATTTAGATCAGAATTAATAATATCAATAATTTTACTCAATTTGAAATTCTAATTTTGTCTTAATTCAACTTTTTCATCATGCATTATAAAATTAGATAAAAACCAACTGCAAGAAAGTTAAAAAAATAATTAAAGCAAATTAAAAAACAATTTTTAACAAAAAACTTGTTTTTTAAATGGTATAATTAATTAAAAACAATTTTTCCTATTTTTAATTGAAAATGCTCTTTTTCTTTTCATTTTCAAATTAGAAAAAAAAAATTCAAATTTTAAAATGAATTAAGAAATTGCTTTGATTCCCCAATTTTTGCTTAAATTCAATCCAGATCTATGAATTTGTTTGATTCATTTGCTTCGATTTTATTTATTTATTTTTTATTTTATATTTGGTTAAAAAGTAGAATTAAAAAAATGAAGAGTTCCTTATAGATATATTCAAATGAGATATGCAACACTTTTTTACTTTTTAATCAACAAAATATTCTTGAAACAAATAAATTATAAAGGTTTACTTTACTAATAAAATTATAAAATTTAGCCATAAATGGTGATAAAGAGTTTTTAGAAATAATTTATTTAATTTGAACATTAATTTTTATACTTGTAATTTATGTTAACTGTTGAACACTACCAAATAAATATATAAATAAAATACGCATTTCATGACAAATTCCATGGTTGGGGACATCGCTGAGAACCAATTGTTGGGGAACTCCTCATGGGTGTCAAAACGAAATATGACTTTCAACTGCCCTCCCCCCTTTTTGTACTATAAAAGAAGGGGGGGTAGAACTTTCATAAGTGTTGAGTGTAAGTATGAGAGATCAATACGGGAGCACATATCCATGCGCACGCATGCATTCAAGCCGTCCGGACCAGCCGGACTAAAGTAGGGGGAGCAAGTCGGCCGGACTTGCACGATCGAACTCTCTTCAGAATGCTGGATCTCATCCTGGAGAAGAACGTGGAAGGGTGTGCTTGCAACTTTTCTGTGACGCCTCCTTCGAAGAAGTTGGGAGAAAAGTTTGTCTTAAGTCCTACCGGCGTCAAATTTGAAAAGCTCGGTGTGACATTTGATTTTTGTCGCGACTGACAGTGTCAGAAACTTGTGTCAGGATGTAAAATTGCGATTTTCTGACAAAGTGATGAGGTAAGAAATAAATGTAATGAGAATTATGATCTCAAGCTTTTTATAAACTTTAAAAACTTTTCCTTCTTTTCCGGACGGTGTATAAAAAATATTATAAACTTGTGGTTTGGAAAGGTAAGTAAACTTTTTATTTTTGTTTATTCTTTATATAAATTAGTATTCTCACTTTAAGGAAAATTGTCATGAGTATCAGTTCTGCTTTGACGTTATGCTTATCTTTGGTACGGTTCAATAAAGAATAATATCACCGATACGCTTTGAAATATAACCAAATTGTAAAGAATAGGAATTAAGTTACTGCTAACTTTAAATTACATGATCGGAATATATTTAAGGTTAACAGATTAGCTTTTACTAAAAAGTGAAAATTGTGGTCGAAGAAAAAGTGTCAAAATTTTTAAAGCATATTTTGTACTTGATTTTTAAAACAATCTTATGAGTAAAATTAAGAAAAAAATTACGTTATGTTTTGGCTACATTTTTCAGTATATCAGTGATATTATCGTAAATATTTTCATGAGCCTAAAGCTATCAAAAGGTAAGTTTATTTTTTAAATAAGAGTAACAAAAGTATGACAGAAAAAGTAAGTTTTTAATATTTTAAATAATTTATAAATTGGCAGTTTAAATTACAAAAAATACTGTTTAATTACATGTTTTCTTTTTAATCTTAAAAGTATTACAATAAATAATAACAGTATATGGGAATTGAATTAATTTTCCGTAAACAAATATTTTATTTACTATAAGTAATAAAAAAACTTTAGCAAAATTTATTTTAAGCCCCTTAGCCTTTAACTTTCAAACTATCAAATTTTTGCCTTCTCAGCATTTTCAGAATTTTTAAATAAGATATAATTTAACTCTTGAAATTTAGCTAAAGTAGTTTTATTTAACTTTAATAGAATTTTTTTCTTTACAATTCAAGACATTGCTAAATTTCATACAGCATTAAATAACTCATATTTTAGGTTTACAGGAAATACTTTTGAAGTTATTCTTAAGTACTACTTCTGAGGAAGACGCATACTCCGAAACAAAGCAAAAAGAATTATTCTGGATAAAAGGATTTAGAGACATTTTTGGAACTTTATGTTTCGAAAACTTTCACTTTTTGGGAGGAATGGTAAGTTTTTGTTCAAACTTTTCAATTGTAATTTAAATAATATACCGTTCATATGCTGATGTTTTACCGGAAATTCTGATTTTTAAAATTATAGTTCTTATTATCTTACATTTAGTAAAAAATACAAAACTGAAAAGTTAGTTTAACTGAATAAAACGCTTTCATGCCATGCTGTAAGGTAAGGTTAAAATAACCAAGATTTATCACATATTATGAAATCATATTTTATTGTTTATTTTACCAAAATCATAACCAAAGTGCTTCTGTAAAAATTACTGAGGGTTTGGGTGTTCCCTTAAAGCCTTAAATAAGGTAATTTTTACGATATTATGGTAGTTTCGACCATATTTTTTTCGCAATGCGTTAATAACAGAAGTAAATTATTATTAAAAAAAACAAAGCATTCTTGTATCGGTATGGGGGACATTGAGGTTAAGGCTCCAGAACTTCGTGAGAAATAATGGTAATCAAAACTAAGCACTCATTGCCAGACAAGCTGGTACTCATAGATCTGAAATTAGACAGATCAGTTTGCTAGATATATCAATCAAAATTCATACTATTTTGACATCTGTCACATTCACAACTTTTAATCAGCCAACGAATTCTATCTGCGTACACTTATAAAAAAATTATAATCGCAACTTTATTTAAACTATTGTCAGATACGTGAAAATTTTTGTGGAGTTTTATTACGTGTACAATAAACTAAAAATAATAAAACTATATACAAAGTTAAATTATTAAAGAAAGTCACTATTAAACCTTGTGCAGTTAGAAGTTTGATAATCAAAATGAATAAAAATATAATTTTTTCATTAAAATTGAGAGTATTCTAGCTTAAATTTAAGACCACATTGTTTTAAAGCATATTTAAAATTTTAAAATTTATAAAAACAAATCAAACAAATATGCTATCAAAAAAATGTAAACCAAATTTTATTCTACAATAGCCTTAAAATTATGTAACATTAGTGCTTCCATAACAGCAAAATCGAAAAGGCTTTTAAGATTGGAGCTGTTGAATGGGATAAGTTAAAAACATTATTTTTGTTATTACTTTTGTTCCAATTTAAATACCACATCCCCTTGATCTGAAACAAAATAATTTTTTATAAATTAATAAAAGGCTTGAATTTAAATTATTTTGTCTTCGTTTTTAGCACTTTGACGAAGAATTTTTACTAAACATATTTTCATGCTTTTTTCATTACTTTGCATTAATTCAGATCAAAATAAGTTGAAAATACTAGTAGCATTTTAATAATTTATGGTAATGAAATACACCATGAAGCACATGCGTCTTTTTCTGAGTTAAAGGTAAAATTTTCCAAGCATGGTTTACTTCCAAACAAAGAATTTTCACATTAGCACTTATTTCCAGTTATTTAGATATAACGGAAACAGTTATTCATCTTTGAAATTTATTTAATTTACAGAATCAATTATTGATAATGTCTTGAATAGGAATAAAAAAATTAAAACTGCATTTTTTTGGATTTTATGTTTTTGCACAAATATAATTCAGATAATCTAACAGAGGTTTTTATTAACTATTAAACTGATTTATGATTTAAATATACCAAAATGTATTTTTGCTTGTAATTATAACTTCAGAAAAAAATATAAAAGGGACACTGGTGGCCCATCTGTATCAAAAAGCAAAATATATAATATTTTTTGAGCGTCAAATAAGTATTCAATTTTACTACGCATAAAATAATGGTTGGAAAAACTGTATCAAGAATAAAATAAGTTTAATGATTTTTTACTACTAACTTAGTGCTACAATTTCAAAGCTGACTCCTAAGTGACCCAAAAAATAGTCAGTAATCTAAGAAATACTCTCAAACTCTTCCTGATTAAAAAAAATTTAATGAAATACCTTAAAATATAAAGCTTTTATTATATTCTAATTAGAGTTCATTTGAAAATAAGTAAGAAGGTAGTTAACTTCGAGCAATTTTTAAAATGCTTGACTTTATATATGCTAAGTGTATAGGGTAGCTGTTCTAATATTCGTAAGCGCCACTGATATTTTGAAAAAATCAAAAAAGCATAGAAACAATAAAGATGCCTGTTATTTACAACATACATAAAACTCCTTAATTCCCTTATATGGAACATCAAAAAGTCAATCAAACACTGCCAAAGTTTTTCCATTAGTATTAAAATTATTCTCAAATTCACAACACAGAAATGTCATGTTTGTCATGTTTTGTTATCTGATAAAAATCATGTTTTTGAAACATAAATGAGAAAATGTAGTATCATGTTGGGAAAGTTAATTTAGAGCATTGCAATTTAGATTAATAAGTGCAGTTTATATTGCAGAGCTTGTTTTTCATTGAGCATTAATTCTTATCTATAACAAAATTTGTCAAAAATTTAAATCGCCTTTAAACTTTGTTGAAGTGTGAATTTAATATGATTCCCGATTTAATGCTCACACACACATAAAATATTATGTAACGCCAAAAGAGACAAAAAGATCCAGTAGCTAGTTTAACGAATTTAAAGTAGCTTGAAATTGACGGTCTGTACCTAGATACAAAAAATAAAAACTTTTTTATTAGAAGGGTTGGAAAAAAATTGACAACTCGTCAAAAAGATTGGAAATTAGGAAGAAAAATTGATAAATTTGTTCTCTTTATGGAAAAAAGGTTTTTTTTTCTAAGTTGATAAAAATTAATATTAAAATAAGTTATCTGTCATAAATATGTAATTTTTCATGTATATTTTTGTGACTCAAATGAAAATTCTGAATCTATGCAGTTGCTAAAACTAATTTACGCTGAATCTTTAAAAAATTAGAAATTTTTATTACAGCAGAACGCATTTGCATCAGATCTGTTTGATTAAGCGTTACGCGAAGAAATAAATTTACACTATAAAAAAGGTGTCTGCAATGCAAAAATGTAAATTGATAAACCTTTATTGTATGATACTGTATTATATCATCATTTTTTTACATTATTTAACTTTTTTCTAAAGGAAAAAATAAATACGTAGTTCAGATGTTTTTTTTTCTAATTATTTAATGCATTAACCTATTTGATATAACGTCTTTAATCATGAACATATTGATAATTACCATTCGAAATGCCATAATATTACAAACAAGAGTTATACTCTTTGTATCAAAATATTTTAAACAATAGTTAAATGTTATAAGTAGAGAAAATATAAATTATATGTTATATTTAAAAAAATTGAAATAAGAGTTAAATGTTATTTACTAGAAAAGGTCAACTAAGTGTTATGCGCTAAAAGATAGTGCATACAGTTCTAAATGTGCTAACTGTTGTATTGCACAGTACATTGTTCTCTTTATCTGCTTTAGAAACATATAGTATGAATAAAAATTTTAAAAAAGTACTCAAAAATAATTTTCAAGCTTCAAAAATCATTAAAGCAATTTGCATACTGACAAATATTAATAAATATTACATCCGCAGTCTTTATTTTTCCTTTTATGATCTTTATCACCCCGCTGTATGAAATGAAATATTTATTGACAAAATATAAATATAAAAATTAAAATAAAGCTCAAAAAGCATATTTCATATTCAAGATAAGGTTATTTTCTCTACCAAAATAAAAAGAAATTAAAGTTGTGCTTTTCTTCTCTAAAAATAATAAAAGCATCTTCATTATCATAATTAATGCATTAAAACTTGAGTCTATCTCACATAGTTGATTTAAACAGAACTGCACATTGGAATTTCGATGATTATCATGTTGTAATCAAAACATAAATTATGAAACGTAAATTATGAAACATAAATTATGAAAATCTATCTCGAATGTGAAACAAATACGTTTAAAAGTTGGTATTTAACATTTGACTTTTAACCTATCCTATCTACCCTATTAGGGCTTAAAATATTCCTTTACTGAAGTTTTCGAAATTTCTTTGACACTAAATGGTCATTATAAATATTTGACAATATTATCCTATTAATAAAAAGTTTGACGAAATATCAATATCTAGAAATTCATAATTGTATAAAATTGCATCAAATCTCAACAATTAGATATTATTCATTTAGGTACTATTTAGAACTTTAATAAATTTGAAACTCAAGTCTTGAGGCATAAATATTTCAAAAATATTTTCTCTAAAACAGAAAAGAGAGACAAATTTCCTAGCCTAGCATTCATACAATGAATTTATTGATATAATATTTAAAAAAAACTTAATGGAACTCATTAAAATAAGTAATTCAAAATTCCCTTAGAAATTTAAACCCATTAAATCAATATTTGTTAATACTTTAGTACATTTAAATTGCAAGACTACATTTGAAAACATAAAATTTATTACTTTATAGCAAAATGTATTGGCTTTGGCATTCATTTAAGAGCAATTTAAAAATAGTCGAGGTTTTCCTTTTTTCATGATCAACATTAATGATCGACTAGATTAAATCTCAGAAATATTACATTTGTTTCTTTCTTTGAGCAATTAAATTTTTTTACTTTCTTAAGCAAATGTTGCTTTACGTTTCTGAGATGATAAAAAAAACCTCGTAAAAAACATAAATAAAGTATGGGAGACAATTCTTTCTACCCAAGATATTAAAAAATGGAGAATGAGAATAAGTGAATGTTTCGCAAAAGTTTTATTCTGATATATTTAGCACAATTGCACTTCTGGGATTTCTTAAATCATTCAACATTTTATTTATTCGTGGGATTTTTTATCATAAGAAGATTATAAAATTATGAATCAAAATGGGATTTTTAAAAGATAGACTTTTATTAAAAATGACTACGATATTGGTTGCTTAAGAATGTTTTCATCTTTATAGTAATAAATTGAAATAAGTGAATTTTAAATATATTTTAAATATATTTATGAATAGTAATTGCAATATATTTGTAAAATTCTGAGTAAAATTGGAATTTTTTTTAACTTTATCTTTTATTAAAATTGGCTATATTGATTACTCAAGCACTTCTTCATCTTTATAACAATAAATTTACAAGAGAAAATT